TGGCTTACATGAGGCCAAGCCCAACAACACATCAATAAACAACAAAGCAGCAAGAAAATAAAACAGTAACATTAATATAACTCACATATAAGCAATAAACACACAAAAAATTTAAAACCTTATGGCCGGGCTAGATGTAATTGATTAAATTTTTTAAATAAACACTGGGCATGAACAGGGATAGGCTGTAGCTAAGCAGGAGGGTTTTTAAGGATAATGTAGGGAGACCAATCCAACAGGTAGTTAAAGTGCTTCTGAGGACATTTTGCAGGGAATTGATCAGATTGGGCATTATTTCCTTCATTCATGGAAGGCACACTGGAACAGCCACGTTTTCAAGCTCCTCCTAAAGACTGCCAATGTGGGAGCTTGTCTGATATCCTTGGGGAGTGAGTTCCAGAGTCAGGGTGCCACCATAGAGAAGGCCCTCTCCCTTGCCCCCACCAATCCCATTTCAAGATCCAAGCATTTCATTAAACAAGTATCCTTTTGAAACAGAAAATAATGAAAGAAGGATCTAAAGATTATATATTTCAAGGAGTTAAAGTTATTGACCTTCCATAATTGATCACTTTGGTAATATCTATTGCAGATTTTGCTGTATGAGTGTTCGAGCATATAGGGCAACTGATTAAATAGTTGAAATTGATATTGCAGTTTGCCAGGTAAAAATGGAATGAGTGAAATATACTACCTAAAAATGAATGCCGTTATTATATCATAAAGTTTTTCAAAAATTCTACCAACGTCCAAATATCCCCATGCTATGAAATACTAAGCCAGCTTGCACCATCCCTCCCTCCCACATGTTTGGTATTCATGTAAAATTTCCTAACAATTTGTCGGGAAAGAGTGTGCGAGTATTGCTTAACTCTCCCAACAGTTAAATATTTATCAATGGTTTTTTTTTTCATTCTCTCACTTACTGTGAAACATAGATTAAAAGAAACCTTGCTTTTATTACTCTGCCAGGGATGACATGATGCTCAATGAATAGGTATACAAAATATGGCTTTCTTGAAGTGTATATACTGTTTTTCAAGAATTCATGAGTACATAACATTATATGTCTCCTCACTATTTTACTCCTTGGGCTTATTATAATATGAAAATTTCAGAGGTGTATATGGACACCCCCTGCATTGCTCCTAACTTCATGGCAAAGTATTTACATGCATTATTACATATTATATGTTATAACACATTGCAGATGATGCTTTATGAGTGTTTGAGCATATAGGGCAACTGATTAAATAGTTGAAATTGATATTGCAGTTTGAAATATCAATTGCAGTCTTCTATCTGAAGATTTTAGTTGATGCTCTTATCTAAAAAGGAAGGCTGCTTTGTGCATCACACGCCTATGCACCACAAGGGCTTCTTTTGAGAAAAGGGACCCTTCCACACAGCCATATAACCCAGAATATCAAAGCAGAAAATCCCACAATATCTGCTTTGAGCTGGGTGATCTAAGTCCACACTGCCATATATTCCAGTTCAAAGCAGATAATGTTGGAGTTTATTTAGCTGTGTGGAAGGGGCCAAGGTGAAAGATATTTATTTCTGGTAAGTGGTGTGGACAGATTGAAATAGAAGGTTTACACTAGTCAAGGGGAAACTAGGCAAGCAGTGTGTCTCCTGGGTTCTTTTTTGGATAGCCCAGATCAACAGCAGCGGCAGCAATGTCTCATTGAGTTTTATTAGGATTAGCAAATTCAGAATGGGTGTGGTTGTTCTAGGGCAGGGGTCCTCAAACTAAGGCCCGAGGGCCAGATACGACCCTCCAAGGTCATTTACCCGGCCCTTGCTCAGGGTCAACCTAAGTCTGAAAAGACTTGAAAGCACAAAACAACAACAGTAACAAAAATCATAGGATCCTAGAGTTGGAAGAGACCTCGTGGGCCATCCAGTCCAACCCCTTGCCAAGAAGCAGGACAATAATATTCAAAACACCCCCAACAGATGGCCATCCAGCCTCTGTTTAAAAGCCTCCATAGAAGGAGCCCCTACCATATCTTGGGACAGAGAGTTCCACTGCTGAACAGCTCTCACAGTCAGAAAGTTTTTCCTAATGTTCAGGTGGAATCTCCTTTCCTGTCTTATCAATCCTATCTGATCAGCCAAAAGCAGGCCCACACTTCCCATTGCAATACTAATAAATTTATATTTGTTAAAATTGTTCATTTTAATTACTGTATTGTTTTAAAGTGTTTTTCTGCACTATAAATAAGATATGTGCATATGAATTCATTCATGCTTTTTTAAAATTATGATCTGGCCCTCCAACAGTTTGAGGGACTGTGACCTGGTCCTGTGTTTAAAAAGTTTGAGGACTCTGTTCTAGGGCAAAGCTTCAAATGAAAGAATGACTTAACAGGAATTAACATTTCATTTGATAAGCCATGATCTTGAACAATTGTTAACTAGATAGTTTGATTTACAAATTAAAACAACAGTCGGTAGATTAAAGCACAGCAGAATGAGATGGGTTTCAATAAGAATGTTTTTAGCAAGGTCATTCTCATACCTGATGAAAGTTTTCAGTGATGTTTCAAACCTGACGATGAACTTCTGGAATCACGCCTCTCCACTGAGTTGCTCATGCCAGATGCCAAATTCTTGATAGTAGTATCTGACACTGCAATCCCACTTTATTTCATGAATATGTTTCAGTTGACTTGACATGTTTTATACCTAAAAGTCATTTATTTCCGGGGGATGTAGCAGTAACTACATCCCCAATGATTTTCTAGAGCGACAGCAGTAAGGTGCCTGTCATTGTATTCTCAGTCACCATCAAAATTGGAGCTCCTTGTGGCACAATGGGTTAAAGCCTTGAGGCGGCAGGACTGCTAATTTGAAGGTTGGGTTGCTGACCTGAAGGTTGCCAGTTCGAATCTGGGGAAGAGCGTGGATGAGCTTCCTCTGTCAGCTCCACTCCCTATGCGGGGACATAACCACAGGGATGGTTAAAAACATCAAAAAAGCACCTGGGCGTCCCCTGGGTAATGTCCTTGCAGACGGCCAATTCTCTCACACCAGAAGCGACTTGCAGTTTCTCAAGTTGCTCCTGACACGAAATAAATAAAACCATCAAAACTTTGACAGATCAGTGGTCATTTCTTTGCATACATTAAAATTTGGAGACACGTTGTGAGTGTCATCAATCAGTTATAGTCTGTGTTAGAAGACAGAATAAACTTAAAAGAGATTGGAGTATCCTCTGGTATATCTGTGTCAATGCACAACGTGGATCTGTCTATTTTGTTTGCTGTTGCTCCCCAAAATGTTGACAGAGCCAATACATACCAATAAAAAAAATAAAAAAGATTTTGGGGATCACTAAACTCCTATACCATTATTAATTGTTGTTTACTCCCTTAAAAAATGGCAAACATTATCTGGACTTCCCCCTTTTCTGTGTGAGATATCATGATTGTGCAATGAAAAAATCATTTGAAAACATCCTTAGAGTCTTATCCCTGGTTGAACCTCATGGTTGGAGTGATATAGCTACCATTTGAGTGATAGGAATCAAATTATATGATATCCAGTGGGGCCCACAGTTTCAGAAGGTAACAAAATACACTGGAAGTCAAAAATACACAAATAAGATGGAGAAGGAGGAGAGAGAATAGAAACAAGACACTGCCATAGTAATACGGTTCCATTTATTGTCTTAATAAAACTGTGAATCTTCCTACCTTAAGATTCCACCCCCCCCCCCATTGAAGTATGGTTTGATGTTATTCTGTATCTACCTTCACTGATAATAAGTGCAACTTTTTACAAATACATCTGTATTTTTCTTATAACAGACAAATCAAATATGAATTTCTGCTCTTTGTGTTTCCATCCTGCCACAATTTTGAGAGGGGTCGTGGTGGTGATTTGTAACATTTTTGACTGCTTGAAAATTTAATAAAAATGTAATAAAAAGAACAGAAATGCAATGAGCTCAACTTTGTTGTGTTGACTTTCTAATTCCTCTTGGAACAAATTATGTTGTGAAATTATGACTGGTTAGAATTTTGTTGTTCTCAGAAATGCAGCTAGTTTCAGAATGCTTGCAATAGCAACTAGGTTTTAAATATATTTCTGAAACTTCTCAGACTTGACAGGTGGCTAAGCTATAAAGCACAGTACCTAAACAGTTAATTTTAATTAACAAAGATTCTGAGTAAAATAAAGGATTTTTTTTATTTTCTTTGTGGAGTGGGGAAGAAAGGGAACTTGCTAGACATTTAGCAAAAGAACTACCCAGAAATGTGGATTAAAAGATTTTTCAATGCTGGTGGTATTCTCACTTAATTCAGTGACTGGCCTAAAGCTATTGGATTTTTCACAGGCATGTTGTGGTGTCCCTTTCCATTGTTTAGAATGGGGTTCCCTAATCTGGCTGTTTCACAGCCTTGCTTGATTTCAGAAAGGTTTGTACATGCAAACTTTCCATTGGAGTGTGCTGCCTTGATCCATTTCTGGCATTGCATTTGCCTCATGGTAGGACTGCTTCAGTAGCTGGTACTCACAGGCACATGGTAGGTCTCATGATAGGTCTGAGCTTTAGGAATGGAATGGAGTTACAATGCAAAATAAAATTTAAATATTTGTTCTGAATTTAATTATGATCTTTTACAAATAGCATGATCCCTTCCTCGGTTTCCTTCTTTGACTCTACTCAGTTTTACAAAATATATAATATATTGTATTGTCGAAGGCTTTTATGGTTGGAATCTGGTTTTTTGTGGGTTTTTCGGGTTGTATGGCCATGTTCTAGAAGCATTCTCTCCTGACGTTTCACCTGCATCTGTAGCAAGAATCCTCAGAGATTGTGTCACAACCTCTGAGGATGCTTGCCATAGATGCAGGTAAAACATCAGGAGAGAACGCTTCTAGAACATGGCCATATAGCCCGAAAAACCCACAAAAAACCAGATTTCTTAATGTTTTCTCTATTATCAATAGATTAAATTTATGGTTTCTTCATGTTTTTCCACCAGAGCTTTGGAAGTGCCAATTCAGTGACTCTACCAGAGACATTGCTGTTTGTTTCAACCCTCGATGGAAGTTTGCATGCAGTTAGCAAGAGGACAGGGTCAATCAAGTGGACCTTAAAAGAAGGTTAGTTTGAAAAATGTCATCTTGTTATCCCTCTACTAATGTTGATAACTGAAAAATCAATATAACGTTGGGAATATTTCAAAGGTTAGAAAACATGACCACTGCCTGAGTGGATTGATCCCATGCCCATTTTATTTGGAGTAAGTCCTATTGATTACAGTAGGGCTTATCTCTAAGGCTATGTGTTTCTAAATGCAGCCAAACAGCAAAAGCCTATGCATGTTGAGTCAAGAAATAAATATCACAGGTAAATGTGCATAGCACTGCCTACTAAGTGTCCTGTCTTCTTCTCGGGGCAACTCATCTGCAGAACTTAGTTTACAAAATAACTTTCTTTAACGTCTTAGGAATCATAACGTTTAATGTATTGTCCTTCAAATCTTTTAAATGTGTCTGGCAATTGGACTGTAACATAACCAGACAAGTTGTTTTATAAAATCAGCCACCATTTAGATCCAGTATCATGATCTATGACGAGTGTGAGCAGAAGTCCACAATAAAGACATATCCATAATCTGGGAGGCTTTGCTCCCAGATTGCTGGGTTCTGCTGTCCCAGTGAACTGAAAAGTTAAGTGTTGACTGTGCTGTTTACTTGTCTGTCTGCATGACTCTTTGGCAAAGTACACTCTTGGTTGCCAGATTGGTTATCACTCATTTTCAATAAAGAATGTGGGAAGCTGCCACCTGGATGTACTGCTTTTGATTTTTATATAAAAATCTAATACCTTTTTAAATCCACAATTAATACGAAAATCTATTCCGTTGGACAAAAAGAGGGGTTTTGATTTGAACTAAGCTGACATGTTTAAATGGACTTTTTAAATAATCTTCTTGTGAACGCTACAGTAAGGAGATTTATTTAATCATGCTGCATTCATAGGTGATTCTAATTATGAATTAACAAATTGATGATCAGTGATGATACAGATAGTACAGATTACCAGCAAACCTGAATGTATTTGTTTGTTTGTTTTTTCTGTCTAGAGCTGATTTGGGTGATGTCAAAACAAACCTCGATTGGGTTGCTGTGAGTTTTCCGGGCTGTATGGCCATGTTCCAAAAGCATTCTTTCTTGACATTTCACCCACAACTGTGGGTGAAATGTCAGAAAAGAATGATTCTGGAACATGGCCATACAGCCCAGAAAATTCATAGCAACCCAGTGATTCTGGCCATGAAAGTCTTTGACAACATATTAAACCTCAATTTATGGTAACCTCATAACATTAAATGGCCCCCGGTGGTGCAGTGGGCTACCAGTATTAAAAAAAACTGTAAAATTACAACAGCACAACAACAGAGAGGAAACAAACAAGGACATCTAATCACCTCTCAACAAAAGTTTGCTCTAGGCAATGTCAGGCCATTATATGCTAATCAAGGTGGTCAGTTGAAACATTCACACCTAGCTCCAGTAGACAAGAGTCCTTTGTATCACCCTGGTCATTCCACAGATATATAAGCCCTTTTTCCTAGTTCCAACAGACCTCACTATCTCTGTGGATGCTTGCCATAGATGCAGGCGAAACGTCAGGAGAGAATGCCTCTAGACCATGGCTATATAGCCCGAAAAAACCTATAACAACCCAGTGATTCCAGCCATGAAAGCCTTCGACAATACAGTGACTATTATTGTCTGGAAATATTGTGCATGGAAATATCCAAAGTAGTTTTGAAATATTTTGCTAAGAAATATCCAGCATTTAAGAATATAACATTGCAGTCATTTAAATTACAAAATAAAATATATGCAAAATTAATATCACTTTGCAAAACAAAACTCATTGGTGGTTTTGATTCTTATAATTCAAAGAATAAGAGACAAAGAGATTCTTTTGAATAAGCATATGGGACTTCTTGCCAGCAGTGAAATGGAAAGCATTTGGGTTACTTAAACTAATACCTTTATTTTTAAAGCAAACTTATTGCAAAATATCATTGGTATATTAGAACAGTCAGACTGGATAATCCAGTTCTGGAGAAAGTTTTCTTTGCATTTGCAGTATTCATAGATCCTTATCAGCATGCAGTCTACTCAATAGCTGTTTTGTAAAAAACTTAATACTCACTGACTTGATTCCATATGCAATAAAACCACAGTCCTTTATGGTAAAAAAACACATTAAGACTCAGTAACATTGAGAACACCTTTTAAAGCATTTCAATGTTCTGGCTTAATGTTATGAAATCTCTAGGATCAGGGCACCATGAGCACCTGGTAGTATACCTTTTTAAATGAAGAACTATAACATTTTATACATCATTGACAGTGATTTGATTTAATTAAGTCCAGCTAGAGGGGTTACATTTTTTTTGGTCAGACGTGGCTAATACTTTTCATGTTATTTTCTAGCTTGTTTTAAATTCCATTGGTATAGCTACCGATTTTTTTTAAGTTTTAAATATTATTTTGCTTCATGTGAACTTCATGTGATGATTTTCAGTATTTATAAGCAGCTCTTATAAAAGCCCTGTAAGTTGGAAAAGACAAATAAATAACAGATCCAAGTTTGTATCAAAAACAGACCTACTTGATTCAAATCCCAACAATGTTAAAAGACAGCAAGGAGAGTGCCAAACAGCAAGGAAGAGAAATGAAAGCAAACTGCTTCTACGTGAATATATGATGATGGTGCTGGTGGTGATGAATTTATTACCTGCCTCTCCATGGCTCAAGATGGAATACAAAATTGTTAAAACAAGAGACAAAACACTATTAAAAGATGTACAACAAGATACACAGAGTTAAAATGCAAGTTTAAATCCACTGATAAAATCCAGATTAACATTCACAATTTAAGATTGACAGGGTAGGCCTGCAGGAAGAAATTGATCTTTAATTGTGTCTTAAATTCCAATGTAAATATGTTATTTTCCTGAGCCCTGTCCATGTCATATTGCCATTTTATATCACAAACAAGGAGAACAAAAAACAATGAAAATAAACTTTTGAAGAAACACATGAAAGCAGTAGATGAAAAGAAGTGGAAAACTGAGAAACATTAACTTGAAACACTAAATAGCAAGAGACACGTGCACGCAACTTGGAGAGGGAAAAGAAATTATAGCATTAACACAATGCTGCAAATGTATCAAGACACTTGAGAGAAGAATGATTAGGGAGTGCCTGTAATAGTTGCTATGACCCAACAGTTGGGTTTTTATTGGGAAAGGTCCCTTGCTGGATTGCACAAGATGAGGAGCTTTTGGCAAGGTGTAATGATTCTTTCTGGGTGTGCCTTTCAAAGAACCATATGGGGATTTGTGCTATCTCCCAGTTTTAAGGGAGTTAATCCAGTGGGTGCAAGTCTCCTAGGTTTTGTCTTCCTTGATCTGTTCAGAGTCCCTGACTGATAAAATGTACATGCTGCAGCACGGAGGAAACAATGGTGCCAGTCACATCATGCACTGACCGCATGGGATTAGTTCAGGGAGAGCCAAGGATCTACAAATCTAAGTTGCAGTGTAGCAACTTGGAAGTTCCTTCTACCTCACAATAAATTGAAGGGACTTGTGAGTATTTTGGCATTTTTTTTAAAAAAAAGGGTTTCATGGCATGACCCCTTCTCTATAGAAAAGATCTCATCCCATCTCCTGGTGTAATATGACCAAGAATCTAGCATGGAACTATGTGAATAAAAATAGGTTTCAATGGTTGCATTGGCAAAAGTATGATAGCTGGGACCCAACACTACGCTAGTTGCATAACGCGGCTGTGAATTAAGGAAGAGGTGCGCGAGACAGCAGAGTGAGTGAGAGACGCAGCTGTGGCAGGATACCACTGAAGTTATTTAACTCAGGCAGGACAGGATAAGAGTGAAGTAATGTAATGTTTGCATATGATATCTAGATAACTAAGCACTATGCTTCGCTGTTTGCGGTTCTCCCCTCCTCCCCCCCTTCCTGTCCCCATCTCCCTTTCTGGTGAACTATCTTGCCAGGACTCTGTCGCACCTACATCTCTCACTCGCTGTGCTGTCTCATGCAAGTGTTCTCCTCATTAATTCAGATCCGCATTACACAACCAGTGTAGGGTCCCAGCTACTAGCGTAGGGTCCCAGCTATCATACTTTTGCCATTGCATTTAACATGGGCATGTGACAGAACTTGCTTCTATGCTACTGGAGCATTTTGGAAGCAATAGGGTGAGCCCTGTGTCGACACTTTGGTAAACAATTTGGTACAGTGAGTTAAGGTATATAGAAAACTAGGTAAATTTTCATGAGGATCAGCACAGAAGTTATTGCAGATGTATGTATGTAAAGAAAGAAAGAATCCTCATGCGGGTGCATTGCATGTGTCAATAAAGGCAAGTGATTTCTCTTACTACAATCGTACAATCAGTAGGTTATAACAACAGAAGTTACGGCATACCATTTGGAGCATTTTATAAACTTTTGCTGTGGGTCCCGAGCTCTCTGCATTTTCTTGCATGTTGTTATTGCATGGTGTTATTTGGTGTTATTTTGTCTTCAAGGGTACTGCAGCTGGACTTTACGTTTACTGCTGTGGGGGACTGATTTTTTTCCTGCCACTAAATGCAACATAGTGGGGTCAGGATGGAAAAAGGAAGTCCATTGCATTCATGATGGTTAGTTAGTGCGTTTTTTAAGAATGAAGTGAAATAGAGATGAGGTTTTAGAACTACCTGAAAAACTTGTTGCTGGGTACTGATGGTGTATGCCCAAGTGTTTTATGTGTTGAAAAGGACCCAGGAGAGTTGCAGAACAGGGCTTGACCTTGTTCCTTGAACAGAAGGAGGCAAGGGTTCCCATGTGATTGTATAAGGTCGTGTAAGTATTTCTTCACATAGGTAAAGTGCATGAAGTTTAGATGTCTTCACAAATAATGCAGGCTGACAATGCTGACATTTGCCTCTCCAGCAATGGGACAGGATTTTGCCTTGTCCAGCATCCTTATTGAATGGTGAGACCCGAGGCTCTCTTTGCAACTCCTTCTGTAGTACTTTCTCTTACCTCACATACACACATATTGTGT